TCTCTAAGTCATCAGAATGACATTTCCCAAACTGACTTTCTCTGTGTCATCAGAAGTATATTTCCCACCGTGCCTTTCTTTACATCATCAGAAATACATTTCCCACAGTGCCTTTCTCTGTGTCATGAAAACTACCTTGCCAACAGTACCTTTCTCTGTTCATCACAACTACATTTCCCACAGTGCCTTTTTCTGTGTTGTCAAAACTACATTTCCCACAGTGGCTTTCTCTACATCATCAGAACTACATTACCCACAGTGCCTTTCTCAACGTCATCAGAAATACATTAGCATGGTGACTTTCTCTACACAATCAGAACTACATTTCTCTAATCTCACCTGATAAAGAATTTATAACTGAAATATACATAATCAAACCAAGAAATCAAATGTATAAAACAGAATTTCTCATCTGATAAAGTTCTAATGTACAAAATATATTATTGAACCCTAGAAATTAAAAAAACAAAAATTGTCATCTGATAAAGGTTTAATATCAAAAATATCATATTGAGGATAATTAGACAAATAAAGCAAAAGTTGCCAACTGATGAATGTCTAATACCAAAAAATGTACTTGTTGAACCCAAGAAATTAAATAAAACAAGTTTTCTATCAGATAGAAATCTAATATTCAAAATATATTATTAAATACAAGAAATTAAATAAAACAAAAATTTTCATCTGATAAAAGTCTAATATCGAACATATCCATATTCAGCACAAGATGTTAGATAAATAAAACAAAAATTCTCCTCTGATAATGGTCTAATATCCAAAATAAATATATTGAACACAAGAAAGTAGATAAATAATACAAACATTCTCATGTGATGAAGAACAAATATCCAAAATATACATATTGAATGCAAGATATCAGAAAAACAAAAATTTCTGTGTGATATTCACATGTCATATATCAAAATTTGCTTATTGCAAAGAAGAAATTAAAAAAATAAATAAAAATCCTACCTGATAAAGCTCTAATGTCCAAAATATCCATATTGTTGCAAAGAAGTTAAAAAAAGGAAATATAATTCTCATGTGATAAAGGTCAAACTAAATATACGTATTGAACACAGGAAATCAAATAAAACAAGAATTGTCATATGATAAAGGTCTAATATACAAAATATACATATTGAACACAAGAACTCAGATAAACAAAACAAAAATTATGAAGAGATAAAAGTCTAATATCCAAAATATACATATTGAATCCAAGAAATCGAATAAATAAAAATATTCAGACTTACTAGAGAATCTGTAAGTATAAGACTATTCCAGATTGTGATGAAGAATTGGGATCAGAGTCGGGGAGGTGTTAGTGGAAACTAGCAGCTCCCTTAGGGGAGGGGGTGAGTAAAAACAGCATCAATGACACAGACACCAGGAGTTCATTGAAGGCAAACAGCAAAGATGTTTATTCAATAACAGGGAAGGCGTTATATACTCTCCTCCCAGCACCCAGGTTGTGTCACAATCTGGTGGCCTTGTGTGGTCATCTCTCATTGGCTGGGTACAATCAGGATCTCTAACAGAGCCTGTTGCTAGGCCCTCAGCAGACTCCAGGTGCTCATAAGGAGTACAGCATGTGCATGCCTTGGCAACTGGTCTGAGCCAAATTCCTCGACACTATGGGCCTGTCCTATCACATATCCACCTTTTATTTTATTACATGGGGGCTCAGTGGGAGTCAGAGTCCTTTGCTCCTGTCCTGTTGACCCTACCTCAGGGTTCCCAGTAACGGGACTGTGCCTGTCTTAGGTTGGCTTGCCAAGCAAGGTCTTACCGTCTGTGAAGACCAGTCCTTGAAGAGCATCCATCCCTGGGGAGTCATCACAGGGTTGGGATGGTCAGGCCTTTTGGATTTCAGAAAGCCAGGCATGCACAGGTCTGTGGAGGGCTGTGAGATAGATATCTAAGAGCAATTGACCTGAGTAGATTATGTAGAGTCACCTCAGGGGCTCCAGTTGTTGCCAGATGTGTGGTGGGAGACACTTAAAAAGGAATGAGATTAAAAGCACCACCCACCCATCAAAAAACATGTGAGAATCCAGGAAGGATCCAACAGCCTTTTTATATTATGCCAAAAGTTTAAAAAATAGTCAAAGGCCACATCCTCTGCCCAGATATGATTAATTTGGAAAATTTATGAGATAGCTGTCGTGGATAATATATAAGATGAGCTGACCTGGGTCTCTTAATATATTTTCGTAGTAAAATAAAGGGTGGATATGTAGTAGGACAGATCCACAGAGTTGAGGAAATTGGCTCAGACCAGCAGCCAAAGAATGCAAGTACCTTACTCCTAAGAGCCAAACTTGAGTCTGCCTTAGGACTTAGCAACAGTTGCCATCAGAGTTCCTAGTCAATGTCAGGGTTCTAGAGTGTTCAGAGTCTGTCTGATGACGTAGCAACAGGAGCTGGCAGAGTTCCTAATCCAAGTCAAAGCTCCTGATTGTGCAGAGGTGGCCTGAGGACCTAGAAAAAGTCATTGTCAGAGTTCTTGGTCCTGCAGAGTCTGCATGAGGGCCTAGCAACAGTCTGTGTCAGTGGTCCTGATAGTGCCCAGCCAATGAGTGATGACCACACAAGTCTGCTAATCTAACACTCCTCATCCAAATGGTGTCATGTCCAATGATGAAAAGGGATGCTCCACAATTTTCAGAGGGGCAAGGAGAGCCTGAAAGGGGAGTATACATATATCTTACTGAAATGGAGATGGCATATGATGTTGAAATGGCTGCTCACTGTTGTATGGTTTTCTATGGCACCGATCGTGTCTTCAAAAGCCCAAACCATCCTCCAGGCAGAGAACTTCAACCTGACCAAACATACGTTGACTGCTCTGTCTAATAAACCCTCTTTTATAATGTATGTTGTATCCATCTGCTTCATGAGAATCCCAATCAATGTGGCCTCTTCCAGCCGACATTTCCACAACACTGTACCATGGATACTTTCATTTAAATTGATGTGAATACAAATGACCAAAATAAAAAAGCTATAAAATTTTGTACTGAGGTCCTCAAAGAGGTTTCAAAAGAGTTCTTTGTCTGAGGACTTATAGGAGGGCTCATGTCAGAAACTGGATAAAGATGGTGGTTATTTCTCTTTAAGTTGGTTATCTTTCTCAACATTCTGTGGATCAAGGAAAATAGCACCCCAGATTATCGTGTGATTCCATCCGTGACTTTAAGAGGGTCCTTATAAAATTTCTTTATTACTTGATTTCCTGTGAGCTGAGTCAAGATTATAAGATATACATAGTCTAATGCCTTTGAGTTTGTGCCCTCTTAACAAATGACATGTAATTTACAATAGCAGTTAAAATTGATGGATTCAGAAGATTGACCATAATCATTGACATATCAAATTAAATTTTCTGTTTGAAATTGTTATTTGTTGAAACCTAAATAAGAATATTGAGTCCTTGAATATGGACTGGTGAGCTACTCTAAATAATTTCTTATGTGGATAAAAGTCTCATATGTAGACACTAGCTCTCAATATATTTATTTTTAATGTTTAATCTGGAGTTAAAATGAGTCTCGTCCAGAAAGTGCCCACTCAGGTAAGTAGCTTACAGAATAGGGAACAGTGGACAAAAGCTAACATTGGCATTTGAAAATAAAATACAGGATTAGAGTGTTGAATTAGCAACATGAGAGGAAAAATGAGATGTCCCTTGATGAACTAAACAACATATTGAATGTATGAGGGATAGTTAAGAAAATCCACCATCATTACACCACAAAACTCATTCAGTTGATGGACATAGTAGTACTAAACAGAGAAGAAAGTGGAGTAGATAAAGATCTACTGAAATTTTATGCAGAAGCAGGGGTGTCTGTGGGAAGGAAGGTAAGTAGATATTGATCCCAAACTAATCATCATTGAAGAAAGTTGATAGACACTCGTGGGATTGCTGGATAATATCACATTCGAAGGTATAAAACATTCATTACTTAAGGGTAGAAAGGAAATCCAAGGTCTTACTTTGCACTTGATCCTGAATGCAACTACAGTCGCCCCTGACAAGATGCACTCAGTTTTGAATATTTGAATTTTATCATATAATGTTTACTATAGAAAAATATAGATTTCTAATTGGATTTGAGGCCATTTCTGCAGGAATATCTACATCTCAGTTTGTGTACTCCTTGGCTAAGGCTCATTACTTTGGAGATATTAGACCCTAGGTACAACCCATGACTCCTGTTTTGAATATTTTTACTCCAATCCATTTAATTATCATGGTTACAAGATTTTTTCATCATGTGTTTATGGAACACA